GGGTATTTGAAAGTGACGCCTTTGTTTCACTACGAACACAACGACTACAACAAAATAAATTAGATATGAATTACATTAGACTAGCGGTACGTGTACTGCTGATAGATAACATCCGCATAAAAGAATACTGCTGTGGGTATATTCCTTTGTATCTTCTGTAAGAATTCCACTACACCATCAAACTTCATTTGCCGCTCCATTATCACCGGTGCGTTTTCTAATAGAATCGACGCACAGATGAAGTAGTACATCTCCCTCTCTGGATACGCAAATATTCGATCCCACAGTTCTAAACACTCTTCCCTTCGAAATTCACGTTTGAACAATAACACTATCCACCGGAAGCACACAGAGAAGTCGATTTTGTTGGTATGGATGTACGCAAAGAATTCCGGATTCACAAACTTAATGATGTCCCCAACCTCTTCAAACGTCTTCTTCCGCTTCTCATCCTTTCGATAAAAGACTCCCATGAATTCCATGATACTTTTGAGTATCCAAAACACATCACTTTCACTCTCAGTAACATCCATAATGATCGACACTAAATCATTCAAGCCTTGCCCATACTGCACTTCAAAGTTATACAACGCGTATGTTCTTAATACGTCCCGTAGCTTCTCTGTGTTTCGTGGGTTTTTGAATTTCTCCAGCTTCGAGTCGGTTCGTCGGACGTCTTTGTCGATTTGGTCAAAAATCGTTCGCATCTCTTTCCAATTTTCAAGTTGCTCATCGTCAAAATTTTGCCATTGTTGTTTGATGTTATAGTACATCTTCTTTCGAATGCAATCGATGTCATTTCGCTGTGTATATGTCATCTGTGGTGTGTAATACCCCAACACCAATTTCCACACCAAGACTCGCGACTCATTTTGGATTCCATTCACATACACCAACTTCCTCAAATCAGCTTCTGCTGGCTTTGTAAATGTCCCTTCACCATTTTCAAGTTGTTTCACTGTATTTATATCAATAGGAAATACGTCCTTCATTGTCAAATTGATTGGCGCAACAATCGCTTCATTCATTTTAAGTTGTTTGATGATCACAAAGACATCTCCTCGCCTCT